CACAGATGATGTCACTCCCTGCCTTATATGGCTTTAGCAGATGGCAGGAACCCTTTGTTTCAAAACCTGATTCTGTCAAGGCAGAAGGAAGGGAAACAGTAAAAGGCAGCACTGGTGGCTGAAGAAATAAGATCTGTTGCATACAAAAGATATACCAAATTGAGGGGACAAGCACTGCAAAGATTTGCAGCTGGTTTGAGAGCATGTGTGGGAGGAGAGAGACTCATTAGCAAGACTCATACCAATCATGAGTTTATTCTCATATTTATTAGGCAAATAATTTTAATACCTCCAAAGGAAGATATACAGCAAGTTTTGCATTTTTTCAATATAGATTAACCACATTTTAAACATGGTAGATGCTGCCATCTAATGGTGTTCAGATGTTGAACAAGAGCTGGAGTAATCATGTAAACACCGATTAAATAAAACAACTTCACATAAAAAGTATTAGTTGTTCTTTTTTCCACTTAAAGAAGAAATATAAAGTTGACATTTTGGGATACAAATAGCTTAATGTGTCCTGCAGTGTCTGTGGGGTTAATCAACCAGTGGAACAATTTACCAGTGGAACAAGGAATGTGTTGGATTCTCTATCACTTGAAGTCTTTAAATCAAGACTGGATGTCTTTCTAATGTATATCCTCTAGCTCAATCAGAAGTTATGGGCTTGATTCAGGAATTACTGAATGAATTCTATACCTATAATATTCAGAATGTGAGACTAGACAATCACAAGTGTCCTTTCTATCCCTAAAATCTATGGATCTATGAATCCACTGATCTTTTCTTGCTGTTTGTCATTTTTAATTCTTTATTCTGTTACCTTTAATAAATCAATCACGAGATAACAGCAGCATCTATCATGCTTTCAGGCTGGCATTTTCAAAGGATTGTAAAAGAGATACATACCCAAGTCTCTTTGAATTTCAATGTAATTTGGGCACCTAGCTCCCCTAATGCTCTTTACAAAATCCACCATTAGGTAGTAAGTAAGTAAGTAAATATTTTAAACAAGGAGGCAAAGTCTTCAATTCGGGGGAGGGCTGCAAGGGATGTACTTCAGGGCAAAATTTAGCTTAATATCAGTGTACTTGGAGGTTACACCATTGATATATTGTTATAAATATTTCCTTTAATAAAGAGTTGCATAAAAAGTTACCTGAGGTTCTATGGAAGTTCCAAATATATTACAAATGTAACATCTATATTTCAGTTCTCAAGTTAAAAAAATAAATAAGATAAAAGCCAACCGTACAAAGGTTTTGACACTAATTTTGCAATTTTAGAGAGTTTTGAATGTGTTTAGTTAAGACCTACTTCAGACTCACTTTAGTAGGATATTTGAATAAAATGCAATATAGTTTTTAATTACAATTGGTTTCATAGGGTCTTGCAAAAATAAAATAAATTATGTTTAATCGTGAAGCATTTGGCAGAAAACTATTCTGTATTATCATCAATGGTCGCCTAATCTTTTTAGGATATCACTCTATTACATAAAAAGAACAAGTGTACTTGTGGCACCTTAGAGACTAACAAATTTATTAGAGCATAAGTTTTCATGGACTGCAGCCCACTTCTTCAGATGCATATAGAGTGGAACATATATTGAGGAGATATATATACACACATACAGAGAGCATGAACAGGTGGGAGTTGTCTTACTAACTCTGAGAGGCCAATTAAGTAAGAGGAAAAAACGAGAGACTGATGAGCTGGAATTGATATGCAAACTAGATACAATCAACTCAGGATTGAATAAGGACTGGGAATGGCTGAGCCATTACAAACATTGAATCTATCTCCCCTTGTGAGTACTCTCACACTTCTTATCAAACTGTCTGTACTAGGCTATCTTGATTATCACTTCAAAAGTTTTTTTTTCCTCTCTGGGTGCTGGGGCCCTGAGCTGGCAGGGAAGGCAGGGGTAGAAATAGTCTTGGCACATTGGGTGGCAGCTCCCAGGGGGGTTTCTGTAATCCAACCCATCACAGTGGTGTAGTCGGCAGGATCTGTGCACAGCTGATTGCTTTGAGGTACTGGTAGTGATTTTAAGTGAGTTTTAAGTGTGGTGGCTGGAGAACAGACAAAGTGGTTACTGGTTTGTTATTTTCTGTTTGCTTATTTCGGGTAAGGGAAGTAAGGACAGAAAAGGAAGCAAAATAAATAAGATTAAAGATCAGAAGAAGCTAGAACTATACAAGTTGCAAATTGCCCAGAAAGGCTAAACACTGGGCTCTGGGAAAGTCTCTGTTAACTAAGAAGCCCTGCCTGAGCTGAGTGCATCTCAGTTTCAGTGAACTGCAGACGGGTGTGGCCCAACCTCTGTGTCTGTGCTGAAGCTGACTGGAGTGTCTAACTTAGCAAGACAGGAGTGGAGGGGTGCCTGTTCTGGCAGGAGGGGTTCTCTGTGGTATCCCAGCTCATCGAGTGATGGTCTCAAGGGAAGACAAATGGAAATTGATGTACAATTTGCTCAGGAAAAGGCTTCCCTGGAAAAGAAAAGGCTGCCCACCAGCCTGGACTTAAGAGACAAAGCAATTAAGACCCAGAAGCATGAACTGGCTGTACTGGAGTGGAAGAGGTGCACAAAGACATGTATCCTGGAGCTGGAAGTTGGGGTCCTGGTGACTGCTGCGGTGGGAACAAACCCCAAGGACTCTAGCTGGAAGCAAACCCAACCCGAGTGAAAGGGGAAGGGGGATTTTGCTGGCCAGTGAAAGGTCTGTCATAGCTGGTAGCTGTGAGCCTATAGCTGGATCAGGTTCTCTTTCCCTTTTGGGGGACACAGGAGTGTCTGCCCCATAGGAGAGCCCAAAAACAAATTTTAGGTATACTGCCTCCGCCATGGTCAGTGTCCAAGTCTCTGGCAGTAAGTTCAGAAGGAGGGTGTGACATTGCAGTCTATATAATTTTATAAAAATATGCTGAGTGAATATAATGTAACTGGAATATGCTTCATGCAAAAGGTCTCTTGTAAGGTATTATTACAAAGCTTATAATCTACTGAGTGTGATCATCCTATTTGTATAAATGTACCACTCTTGTATCTGAAACTAGAAATATGAAATATAACTCTGAGGGCCTATTGTAATTATGCAAAGTGTGGGCCATTAATGGTGGTTTGGAATCTTGATGACTTCCATTAACCAGGACAATTGTCTGTAGATGGGTGTGTTTTACCTGTAAGTCTTCCTGTATACGTGTGTGCTGACAAGAGGGCAATGAAATCTTGGAGTGACATGTGATCTTGTCACCTGAATTGGAATCCATCTTTAACCTGGTGTCTTTCCATTGAGAAGGAGAGGCTGGAAACCCTCAGGGGGACAAAGGATTCCTGCCTTATGCAAAAGATATATATAAAGGGGTGGAACAGAACAAAGGGAGAGAGGAGCCATCATGAAGAATCCCCTAGCTACCACCTGAGCTGGAACAAGAGCTATACGAGGGGAAAGAATTGTGCCCAGGCCTGGAAGGGGTTCAGTCCGAGGAAAAATCATACTGAAGCATCTCTGAGGGTGAGATTATCTGTATTCAGTTTGATTAGACATAGATTTGCACATTTTATTTTATTTTGCTCGGAGACTTACTTTGCTCTGTCTGTTACTACTTGGAACCACTTAAATCCTACTTTCTGTATTTAATAAAATCACTTTTTACTTATTAATTGATCCAGAGTATGTATTAATACCTGGGGGAGCAAACAACTGTGCATGTCTCTCTATCAGTGTTATAGAGGGCGAACAATTTATGAGTTTACCCTGTATAAGCTTTATACAGGGTAAAAACGGATTTATTTGGGTTTAGACCCCACGGGGAGTTGGGCATCTGAGTGTTAAAGACAAGCACACTTCTGTTAGGTGCTTTCAGGTAAATCTGTAGCTTTGGGGCAAGTAATTCAGCCCCTGGGTCTGTGTTGGAGCAGACGGGAGTGTCTGGCTCAGCAAGACAGGGTGCTGGAGTCCTGAGCTGGCAGGGAAAGCAGGGGCAGAAGTAGTCTTGGCACATCAGGTGGCAGCTCCCAAGAGGGTTTCTGTGATCCAACCCGTCACACTTATCTCACAGCCAGTAGGGAAAAACAGCTACTCCCAAAATCTTCTGTCTAGATACAAATTCAAGGTATGTGTATCAGATTACCAGGTAATATTTTCTGTGACAGGTTAGTTGCAGTATGATGATGAAAAATTGTATATATATCACTTTTTATTTCCAAAGCACTTTAAAAACTTCAATGAATTCACACAACATCCTATAGCATTCTCCCCCTCACACGTTCCCCCCCCCCCACACACACACACCCCTTTTCTAACAAATTGGGATACAGATGGGTTAAGGGCAAATTTTCAAATGTAGATGCCTAAAGTGAGGCACCTCAATAAATACAGTCTGATCTTCAAAATGTTCTGAGCACCAATAAGTCTCTCTGAAGTGAGTGGAAGATGCATGTGCTCTGCAATCTGAAAACCAGGCCACTTTTACTTAGGTGCCTAAATATAAAAATTAGGCAATACCATTCCCAACATATACAGTAAATGTTGCCTTTTTACTACAATAAACCATGTTTTTTAAACAAACACAAGGTCATATAATGCTATAAACAAACATACTTATATTACTCAAAATAAATTTATACAGCCAGGCTTTACCTGTGAATAGATATAACCATATTTATTGTTTTACAGTCTAGTATGTTTATATACAACCACTGATATAACTGGTATGATCTTGTACAGATTCCTTCTGTGAATAAGCACCAAGCAATGCTAAAATACTAAGTTGAAAACTTTACTTCAGTAGCTAAAGATAAAATTGCCATTGTTTGAGTTGCAACTCATATTTAGGACTCAGTTGTGTAACTCCTACTCATGTTGGGGAGAACTTGCAAAGCTAAACATTCATCATTGTAAGGGTTATGCAATCATTAACTCTTAATAAAGACTACTATAATTATTCTTAAATTATAGTATTATATTCTGGAATCAAAAGGTTATTTCCATCTAAGTTGAATTGGCTTTGCTTGAGTCTGTAATTGTCACCTGCAAGTTATCATTAGTGGCCCCAGTGACACTATCATAAGATGGAGGGAAAGAAATGGAAGATGCAGTTTGTGATCTATCTAACTGGCTACCTTCCTTCTCAGATACATCTTCTTCTGAGATGCTACTGTCACAGGTTCTGTGTTGGTATGAAAAAGAGCCCTGTTTCATAGAACATTGAATCAAATGGGACCGGAAGGCCCTTTGGATAATAATGGCAGAAAGCTCCTCTTGTCTTCTTCTAAGGGTAGTTGTGATTGGTTTATAAGCAAGCTTGGATGGAATGGCAATCTTAAGCTTATTCTCCATCATTAGTTTGTCCATCTCCCCAGATTCTCCTAACACTCTTCTGATAAAAGCAAGCAAAATATCCCAGTAGTAGATCCTATCTCCACTAAACAGAGGAAGATCCATTGCTATCAGCTGAATTTTGTTGGGTTTTGATACACGTAAGGGTTTTTCCAAAGCATCTGCAAAGTCTGAAAGTGCCGAATACTCAATAAACTGAGTCGCCTCAGAATCAAACTTCCCCCATATTTCATAAAACATATCAAAGTCATCTTCACATAAAGGCTCTGTACTTTCCTCAGTAGCAACATTCAAGTTCTCTAAAATAACAGCTATATACATGTTTACAACAATAAGAAATGATATAATGACATAACTTACAAAATATATCATTGCTACAGAGCTATTTACACAAGAAGTATTGTCGCTAGGTTGTATAATTAAATTTGGAGCACAAGAGTCAGATCTTGTCCCTAAGAAAGGGTTAAGAAGGCCATCCCAGCCGGCTGACGTTGTGATCTGGAAGAGGCAGAGCATGCTGCCACCGAAGGTTTGGAAGTTGAAAATGTTATCAATCCCACCATCCCAATTAGCGCAGGCAAAGTGAGCCATGCCCAAAATAGCATAAATATACATGATCAGAAAAAGCAGGAGACCAATATTGAACAGAGCAGGCAGGGACATCAATAATGTAAAAAGGAGAGTTCTAATTCCTTGGGCTTGCCGTATTAGTCTCAGGATTCGGCTAATCCGCACCAAGCGAATGATTCTCAACAATGACGGAGACTTTAAAACACCAGCAACTCCAACACCTTTAAAATGAAAGAAAAAGAAGTGTTTTATTGTTAAATGTTCAATGTTAAATTATCAAATCAAGAAAACTAGATATACATATGTACGTTTGATTATCTTTTATGAAATAGCCAGATGAGGTCAGAAAATGTTTAAGGCCTATTTCTGTGTTACAAGGGAGAATGATAATGTTCTGTCAATGCCAGCAAAACTGCTAGTTTCCTTGGCACTTAAAGGGAAAGTTACTGTTAAAAAGGTTATATTATACCTGCAAAAGTTTAGAAACAAGCAAACAAAAGACCCTTTAAATGTTACAAAATTAAAGTTCTTAGATAAGTAACATGCATCTGTATTCATACTGTGTATATCATTGTGCTGAGTGCCTAAGACTCATGTGGCTAAGTGCCCTTTTTTGCATCACTATGATTTTTTTTTAAAGGAGGCTTAAAAGGCTTTGCCTTTTCCTTGCAGAGAAAAAAGTAGTTTATCAAAAATGCTAAGCCTTGTCCTTCCTTTTCTGTTTGGGGCATAAGGAAAGGATCTAACATAATCTGGTTTTGGCCAGGATACAGAACAGAAACAGTACTGTTACTGCTAATGGAAGATCTCTTACTATATATAAAGAACAAATGTCCATTGTCTCACTCCTGGACCTCTCCACAATATTCATTATGGCTGATTGCAAGATACTATTATCCCATCTGAGGGAAATGACAGTGGTCTAAAGAAATGCTCTCTAATTATGAGAATCCTTTCTTCAGAGTCACACACAGAAGCTACCTTTGCTACCAGATTTCTCATTTGTGGAGAACCACATGGATTAATTCTCTCCCCAACTTCAATCAGTATTTACATTTAGCCAATGGGAGAAATGGGGAGACTTCATGGGCTCTAATGTCAACAATATAAAAATGACCCAAATTTGTCATTTTCAACCTAGGATAACAATATGGTCACCCTGTTTTCCCAGTGACTGGCCAACATCAGCACATGGCTCAGGTAGAGCTTATTGAAATTGAATCCCAAGAAGACAGAGGTTAACGCTTCGAACAGCTAGCCATCAAATTGCAGCTCTCTCCAGTCAACAATGCATACCCACAGAACATCAAGACAGTCCATATCTTGGCAGTCTTTCAAGCCTCCTCCCTGACACAAAGTTCTTGCAAAAAAAGCATGTATGACACTTTCTATCATCACCAAACAATTAGGAAGATTTTGTCCCATTCTTGCTACCACTGACCTGGTCATAAGAATACCTCCCCAACCGGATTATAGCAATGCAATTTACTTGGGCTCAAAAACATAAGCCTTGAGAAAACTGCAGTGGGTGCAGAATGCAACAGCATGCCTCATTGAGGGCACAGATTACCACCAATACAGTATCCTGGTGCTTCGCTCTCTTCACTGGCTTCTCATAGAGTATCACATTAAGTTTACGGACTTGGTCCTTATTTCACAGTACTACGTGACCTGATCCCAGGATAATGAGAGGATGTATGGTTGTAATGAGTGCTAGTCTGAAACTTGGGAGATCTGAGTTCAATTCCCTGCTCTGACACAGGAAGCCTGTGTGACCAGGGGAAAGTAACTTGGTATCTTTGTGCCTATCTTTAAAATGGGGATAATAGCACTTTCCTATCTCTCAGAGATGTTGTGACAATAAATACATTAACAGTTGTAAGATGCTACAGTAATGAGCAACATGTAAGTACTCAAGATAGATGGATACCTAAAAGATTGCCTTACTATCACAAGTCCCCCTATGTTTCAATGCAAATGCAAAGCATGCTTCAATATTTTCCCAAAGAGGGGGGAAAACTCAGTGAGGTCCAATCTGGTAGGAATACCATCATCAACAAAAGAGTCAAACAGGTTGCTCTGAGGCCTGCAGCTACCTGAAAACATGACCATGGAGGCAAATAGTGGAGGCTTCCTTCTCTGTTGTCTCTGTTTGCATCTGGACTGATCCAGCTGTCTAGGCAGGTAATACTGCTATCTCAGCTGAAATTGACACCAAAACCTTGTTCTTTTGCGGGCTGGTATATAAAGTCACTGAGACTTTAACACTTCCCTGAGTCTTTTAGTGTAGAGTGCCTTATCAGTCTAACAGGAAAATAAAGCACTGTCCCCAAAGGAAAAGTCTTCAGTAGTCTGTACTTCTATAGGAATCCATGCCTGAAGCCACGATAAACTACACATGGCTACCACTGTGACAAAGACCCTGGAAGCTGATTCTGCAGCGTCCAGGGAAGCTGACCAGGATACTAATGACCCTCCATCAGAAGGGACTGAAACTTGTCCCGAAGTCCTCGGGCTGCTTGTTGAAGTACTTAGTCATAGCATCCCAATTTGAATAGTTGTATTGGGCCAAGAGAGCCAGATGGTTGTCTATGGTGCTGTAATTCTGCAGCTGAATAAGCCTTATTACCAAGAAGGTCCAAATCTTTGCATCCTTTTCTTTTGGGGTAGCTTTTGCTCTATTGTGGCGATGTCTTTCATGTACCTCTGCCAGTACCAGAGAGCTCAGCATGGGGTATTGATAGAAGTGTTTGAACCCCTAGGAGGTCACCCGGTATTTACTTCCAGTGCACTTTGCAAAAGGTGTGATGGACAATAGGGACATGATAGGAGGCATAATCGCCTCATTTATATGAAGGGTAAGTTTCCCTGAAGTAGCTGGATGTAAAATGTCTATGAACTTGCAAGGGTTCTCCTCCACAAGCTCCATCTGGATACCAAGAAAAGTAGCCCTCCTTTTCAGGAGCTTTTGGTAGACCTTAAATTCATCCAGTACCATGGAAGATGCTGCTGCTACCAGCGACTCATCTGGTGATGAGGATGAGGTATTCAGAGAAGGCAAGACAGAAACCTCCTAATGCTGATCTTGCACTGCTGATGAAGATGGTAGGTCTGAGGCAGGTTGTGAAAGGTTCCAGCAGCTGCTCTGTACCAACCATGAGCAACCTCTCTGTAGTGTGTGGGAAACCTTATCTTCTCAGCAATCTACTTCAGTAGGTTAGCAGCAAAGTGGATCTCGATGTTGGAGGCATACCCGAGGGATCGAGTGTGGCAAGTGGTGGGGCTGGTATGGTACTGAAGGCCAGTTATGCCTAGACCAGGCACTCCAGTCTGTAGATCTGCTCTTGTCAGAGTGTCATCTGTGAGAGCAGAAATAATTCCTGGAGGACACCCTCGATATTCTGAAGTGGGTGACATAACAACCCACTTCACACTCTGATGAGGAATAGGAGTCCTTTGAAGGCCTAGGTGGTGTGGTACCGAGCCACATCATCAGAATCATAGAATCATAGAAGTTGGTACTGTAACAGACCCCAACATCGGTGCCAAATTCTGCACTGCATAGGGTTGGAAGAGACCTCAGGAGGTCATCTAGCCCAACCCCAACTAAATCATCCCAGCCAGGGCTTTTTCAAGCCAGGGCTTAAAAACCTCTCAGGATGGAGATTCCACCACCTCCCTAGGTAACCCATTCCAGTGCTTCACCACCCTCCTAGTGAAATAGTTTCTCCTAATATCCAACCTAGACCTCCCCCATTGCAACTTGAGACCACTGCTCCTTGTTCTGTCATGTGCCACCACTGAGAACAGTCTAGCTCCATCCTCTTTGGAACCCCCCTTCAGCAAAAAGAGGCCAGGACTGTGGGCAGGTCTACACTACAGTAGGGACCGACGCTCTGAGATCAATCCACCGGCGGTCGATTTAGCAGGCCTAGTAAAGACCCGCCAAATCAACTGCAGATCACTCTCCAGTCGACCCCTGTATTCTACCCCCGAAGAGAAGAGCAAGATAAGTCGACGGGAGATTTTCTCCCGTCGACCCCCCGTGGTGTAGACCCTGCGGTAACTCGACCTAAGGTACGTCAACTCCAGCTACTTTATTCACGTAGCTGGAGTTGCGTAGCATAGGTCGACTTACTGCAGTAGTGTAGACATAGCCTGTGTTCTACATCGAGACTGCAGTACTGGTGGTAGCAACAGGGGCTTTCTACCTATTTGTACTGTGAACTGCGGTGGAACAAGGGACTGGAAATTCAGGTGCCAGCATTGAGGAAGCTGAGGAAGATGCTACTAGATCTGAAGTCGTAGGTACTGTAACAGCCCCCAATATCAGTGCCAAAGTCTGCACTGCATGTGATGGCCCCAGTAGGGCACTGTCAGCCTTAATGAGTGGTGAAGGCAGTTCCAAGCGGCACAACAGATCCTTCGCGGCTGCGTAGGCCTCTGGTGTTGTCTGCACCAATAAGATCCCTTGCCCTGCAGAGGGGTGATGGATCCTCTGTTGCCACTGATGAAATAGCCAGTCTCAGCAAACCTGGGATGGGTACCAGAGTCAATGGTTCTGTCCTAGGAAAGGCCCTATGTGGTGGTTCTGGGGAGCAGTGAGCCAAAAGGTGTGCTCTGCTTTTGGTACTGGAGTGGCTAACGTCTGCGGCAGAGGTGTCCCACATCAAGGACTCTGAGAAAATCAAAACTGTCTTTGATCTCTGTCCTCAGGCAATGCCAGGGAAGCACTTCTACAAGGAATATTCAAGGAACTCCTGCGTTCTGACCAAGCAGGCTTCAATGCTAGGTGAAGAGTGGTTTCCCTGTGGATGTATATATGTCACTCTTCTCTCTGCTGCTTTGTTCTAGTTTTGAAGCCTCAGAAAACTGGACACCTGTCTCTGACGTAAACCTCACCCAAACACTTCAAGAGCAAGAGTGATGATCATTTATGGGCATCGGCTTATGATATCTGGAGCAAGGAATGAAACCAGGTGTCCTTGGCATAGGCTCCCCCAGTACACGGCAAAGCTTAGAGAGCACAATTAGGTATGATCATAAAATACAATAAAAGAAAGGAAAGAAGGGGTACCAAAGGACCAAAGCTGAGTATTACTAACTATAACTAGATAACTATAGACACAAATAAGTTCACACAGCAACAAGGGCTGAAACGCACAGTATGCTCTGACCACCCACAGACAATACGAAGGAACTAAAGGGATGGACGGGGTGACTCCTCCCTTTATCCCCTCAGCTTGGAGGATGAGGGACACCAGTGTGCAGGTATGGCCGCCCCCACAGGTACTGCTAGGTAAAACACTCTGGCACCAGTGCAGAGACATGCACACATCAGCAGTGTAATGGACATATTCAATCTCTCAAAGAAGAACCTCAGTGTAAAACCACACAAAGGATTCTAGGAATAGTCTTATGGAAAATGATTTATGTCATCCGCACTCTAAAATAGTCATTCATTTAACTTTAAGGAGAATGCATATAGCTAGGAATTTTTTTGGTTACATCTAACCTCATGTTTCCACTTCAAGGTGAAAACCTTTGTTCACTACTTGAATGCTTGAGGGGGTATAAATTCCTTTTGTGGTGTTCATTTGCAAACGTTTTGTGTTTAAAGGCAGTTATCTAAGGTAATAACTCTCTGATGTCATTGCTATTTGAATAGTGAGATATTTTATGAACCAACATGAAAAAATTTGGTGCTATAACTGGATTACTATTGTGAGAAGCCATTTGAGTATAAAGATATTGTTATTAACAAGTTATATGGTAACGCTGAAGCAGCACCTTACTGAATTCAGGCAAGAGTCCCTCTCCAAGGACTGGTAAGAAGAAAGGACAATAATTTACTTGATGACTATTCAAATTTAAAGACTTCATAATTTCTGTTTAAAAAGATTATTTTAAAAGCTGAAACCCCTTTCTATCGGGAATAGTGGTGTTTAGACTAATTTGAAACAGAATTTTAAATCCTATTAATTCCTGAGCTGAAGACAATGACCAGAACAACTCCAGGAGGGTGTTGAGCCAATGAGAGGATGAAAGTGGCTGATATTTGAATCTAGTCACACTTCTAAAAGAGGTGTGTTTTCCTCCTTCAATGAGATTATAAATAGAATATTATAAATCTCTCTGAATTGAGCAAGAAAGCAGCAACACTTGATCCCATCTCTCAATTTCAACAGCAACACACTTTACAGCACCCTTATCTAAGCTCAGCAGCTCATCTTAGCTCTCTAAGAAAAATGCAGTAGTAACCAGATAGCTAAGAAGAACAGAGAACTAAATAAACAAAATGCAGCATAAAAAAGAGGCAACTTTCCAGTCCAGCATTGATTTGCAACATATACTGATGAGACAGAGTTTGCAAAAGCACTGCCAAGGGATTAGATTAAATTTTCCTTGTAATTATTTTAATGGGATATTGAAATGCTATTGCAATGTAAGGTATTAACTTCTTGTCCTGGTATACCAGGTCATTTGGACTATGTATTCCTAGAGAGGAGGAAGTGAGATAAATAATGGGATTTTATTCAAGTTTAAGATTCTTGATAAAGTGAGAAAAATAATGGGATTTTATTCAAGTTTAAGATTCTTAATATTTATTAATTTTCCTTTCTCAAGACAGCTCTTTGAATAGCTTCTTTTAAGTAACTGACTTTAAATATTGGTTTCATGAGACATAGGGCTTGTCTACACTTGAAATGCTACAGAGGCACAGCTGCACTTTCTCCTCGAAAGGCGGTAACTAGGTCCACGGAAGAATTCTTTCATCAACCTAGGGCTGTCCACACCAGTTGACAGCACTTAGACTTAGGTTGACTTAACTACAATACTTAGGGGTGTACCATAGACCAGCCTTAGTTAAGAGTACTCAACTTTATAAACTATGTTATCTGTGATAAACTAAACAGGATTCACCTACCCTTAATCAAAATTCTTTTGCGCCTCTGTAAACTGTGTTAGTTACCTATGCTACATTGAGTCAATACTCAATTGGGGAAGAGGGATAGCTCAGTGGTTTGAGTGTTGGCCTACCAAACTCAGGGTTATGAGTTCAATCCTTGAAGGGGCCACTTAGGGATCTAGGGCAAAACCAGTACTTGGTCCTGCTGGTGAAGGCAGGGGGCTGGACTCATATGACTTTTCAAGGCCCCTTCTAGTTCTAGGAGATAGGATATCTCCATTAATTTATTATAATACTGATATGGGGAACCACATACTTTGGTTTATGTTTACCTAAAGGAGAGCATCCCCACTCGGGGAAGCTCAACTCTCAAAGGTGTAATCTCTGTTGTAAATTCTCCCCAGAGAGGCATTAAGAAGAGATTGTAACTGAAGTAACCATTATCTGTGGCTTATGATTTGTTTTTCTTTCTTTAATAATAAAATGATTATAGTTAATAATTATGATTACTTTACTTGTCTTTAATTACAATGTACTCTCAGGAATGGAAAGAACCCTGTGTAACTAAAATACTGGGAGTCATGTCCCTGAATTGACAGTGAGAGAGATAATTATCAAGATTTGGCGTACCATTTCTTGTTTCTCTGTTTAGACTACAACATTTTAATAATTTTGGAGATAAAATTAATTGGCGCTCAACCACTTAAAACACCCACTTTCTGCCCCACAGGACTCATGTGCAGGAAGTCTGGCCATATGGCTTGCACTTCACTTTCAATATTTTATCTGAAAATGTGGCCCATGACTCCTTCGCCACGCCCACCTAGATGCTAACTAAGGGACATCCATTAATTTCTGGTATAGCTGGTAATTCCTGGTGGAATTAGCAAGCAGTAAAAATAAAATAAAAAAAGAGCAGCAGATTAACCCTTTCATTGCTAATCCCCCACTATAAATGATTATGCTTCTATCACTCACTGAATTTAAAATGAAATTAATGGCATATTAGGATTTAGAGTAACTGGTACGTTCAGCAACTCAGCAGGGGTATAAATGCCAGATGTCATGTAGCTACCCATCAGAGAACTAGACATTTTTCTGAGGTTTGTAGAATAGCTTAGTGTGCTATGCAGAAACAAGGGAGGAAGTTGAGAGCAAGTTTTTTGTCTGTCAGTTCTGGTGAATGCTCCATTATACAATCTGTGACTGGGCAGAAAGCATACACAAACCAGAGGATTGGTGAGGAAACCAGAGACAGGGAGGAAGTGGAAGCAACACAGATAAAAGCAGAAAGGATAGGCCCAGCAGAAGGGGAAGATTGTAGTGTTTCACAAGAAGTTGTGGGAGATTTAAAAAGGTGGGTGGTTCACTGTTGTGGAAAGAGAAAGGGATGGTTTAAGCAACTAGAAACATGGTGGGAATTCTCTTTAGACGGGACAGACAAGGAAGAACTGAAAATAAGTATATCCACCTTCAGTTCTCTAACAGTAATTATCTACCTTCACCTAGTAATACTATATTTTACTGTCACCCAGTTTTATTTGAAAAGACCAAGTACAATTATATTCTCAACATTCACAAATAACGGGCCAAATCCAGAGAGCTACTGAGCAACTCTAACTCTCGTGAACTTCATGGTTCAGTACCTGTCAGGGTGTAGCTTGATTTTTTTTTAAAGAAATTCAATAAATGTCTGAATTTTCTTATAAAATTCACACAGTGGCCATCATTAACATCTTTACATATGTATCTTTTTGCCTAACTGGTATTACTGTGATATTTCTTATACTTCGTACTGGGAAAAATGCAGTACAATTAATTATTTGCTAGCTGAGAAAGTAAAGATTTTTAAGGGCAGCCACTGTTTTACTATATTATTTACTCAATAAAAACCAAACTTGTTCTTTTCCCAAAAAGCATTTATGGGTAGATTGAAAACTATGCCCGTCAGTATATCTCTGCTCTTTTCCAAGGACACTAGTGAAAGCAATGTGGTTTTTTGTTTTTGGTTTTGGGGTTTTTTTTTGGGGGGGGGGGGG